ATCACTCACTCACTGCTGTTGAGTCCATTCTGACTCAGCGACCCAAGAGGACAGAGTAGAACTGCCCCTGTAGGTTTTCAAGGCTGTGAATCTTTACAGGACAATAGACCGCCCAACTAAATGTTGCCATCATTGCCACTATTTTATAAAGGAAGTGAGCCTAGGAAAGTCCAACAGGTGGACAAACAGATGTTCCAGCCCACTTGTTCTGACTCCAGATGCACAACTTTGCCCAGCCTACCCAATCGCCTTCAACTACTTCTTCGCCTTTCTGGGCTGTAAAACCAGACCCTAGATGCAGTCCATCTGGGTGGAAAGGCAAATTCTCAGCTGGGGACTGAACCTATTTGGATTTTTCAGGAAGCCCTGGCTAGCTATGCTTTTGTTGCTATTTCTTTTCATGTAGACATCTTCTTTCCCCCTCCTTTGTTTTATGATTAGACTTCACTTTTCAAGCAGTTTTAAGTGTTAAAGAAAAATTGTACAGAGAGTAGAGTTCCCAAACCCTCTGCCCTCTGGCATACTGTTTCTCCTGTTAACATCCTGCAGGCCCATGGTCCACTTGTTATAACTGATGAATCAGTATTGATGCTTCATTCTCCACAAACGTCTACAGCGCATATTAGGGTTCACTATGCTGTAGAATCCTAAGGATGACCCTACCTTTTTAAGCCCATAACTCCATCTACGCACAGATGCCTTAATAAATATTAGCAATACGAATAAAACATTATTAGATTAGCAATGGGCAGATAAAGATCTTTAAAATGGACCAAGGCTGATTAATTTCACCATTAGCTCTTCTCGTTTCTCACTTTCTAAATAAATGGCTCAATGCCCCTCTTCCTCCACCCACATATTTTAAAATATGTATTTATAGCTTTTAAAAGCCTTTCTCAGCCCATCTCTCCTCTCCTGCTGGGCACTTAATTGCATCCTGGTTGCTGCACTAAATTATCCGATTGAGACCCTGTCACTCTTGTTAAGTTCCCATGGTGTTTATGCCGGAGAGAGAGGGGGCTGTTGGCACCAGGTGGAAGGTCTTCAATTGCGTTCAAGCAAAGGTTCCTTTTTTCCTGGATTTTACACATGAGCATTATGGAGGGCTCCCCTTCCCGATACCCCCCACCCAATTTGAATGTCAGCCTTTCATATTGGAGGTGGATAGAGATTAAACTGAACTTGAAACCGTGAGGCTGTTGCCATCAAGAAACTTAACCTGCCCCCAATCCTAAATGGCTTCGGTTGTATTTTGTTGTTTTCCATTCGATTTATTTACATTCTGATTCATGACATGGGAGCCCCTCAATGTGAAAGAACTCTCCCCTCTGGTGACCTTGTTTCCCATTGTCTTTCTTTCCTGCGCTTTCCAACCTTCGGAGCTTCGGTTTGGGCAAATGCTGCCCTTTGGGTCTTTGAAGGTTGATTTGTATTGAGGAGCACATTTCTCACTTTAAAACCAGAAAAATAAACTCACTGCATGGCATCAATTAAAACTCATAGCATCCTGTGTGGACATGATCAAGTGAACTTCCTGAGTCTGGCTCTCCTTGACCTACCAAATGACTGTGTGAGATCATGCAAACAAGGTGTAGAAGACTCTAATACAGGGACCGGGAAGTTTTACCATCCTGCTGGGTATAAGAGTGAGCCATCTCAGGAGGAGGAAGAGGAATCTTGTGACCATTAAGGAGCCGCTAGTGTAGCATCTGGGAGATCCCTGCCTGTAGGGGTAGAAGCAGCAGAAGCATCGGAAGCACCACACTGGGATCATGAGACAGAGCAGAGGAACTGAGCTGAGACCATGAGGCGGAGCAGTAGGTAGGCTTCCTGTCCATGGAATGAGGCAGAGGCCAACGACATACCGGCCAGCATGGCTAAGAAGAGATGCTGTGGGTAAGAGAATTGTATCCTTAACATTTCATAACCTGCTAGCTTCCCTCTGAAATCCCATGATCATGAGTACTGCCTGTGAGGTCTACCTGCCATTGCAATGAATTCTGGAACCCTTCAGAGGCGAGTGCCACCGGAGGGACAGTTGGTGTTAGAAAAGGATAAGGAAGTGGGGAGGCATGTCTAGCCTCTGCCTCAGAGGAATCGTCCTTGGGCAGATGTGGAGTTCAATTCGCTTCCCATTAAAGAAACAGGAGGTCCTCAGGCCATTTCCTCAACAGGGTTTCTGAGCCTGTATTATAAATTTTTATGGGAGCAGAGAGCTTCATCTTTCTCCCTCGGTGCAGCTGGATTTGAACTGCCAAGCTTGCCATTAACAGTCCATGCCTAATCCATAATGCCACCAGAGCTCCTTATCCACTTTATAGACTTGCCTATGATTTGGCAAGGAGTCCAGGTAGCACAGTGGGTTAAGCATCAGGCTGCTAATTGAATGGTTTGTAGTTCAAACCCACTAGCCTCTCTGCTGGGGAAAGATGAGGCCATAAAAATTTAGTCTCAGAAACCCTAAAGGGCAGTTCCACTCAGCACTGGAATCAACTCAATGGACGTGCCTTGGCCAGTAAGTTACAGGGTGGGCATGGGTTATGCTGAGCTCAGGGATGGCTGGATCCAGAGACATGAACATATTCTCTTCCTACTCCTCCCTCTAGGTCAGATTCATTCTTTCAGACCAGCTTGGGGTGTAGCAGCAGTAGCAGCTCCATTCTCATATCCAAACAGGAGCCCAGAGAAGAAACTATTGCTCTTGGATGGATCCAATATGGAAACTTTTCAGTAAGACAGACTTTGGCCCAATTTATATTATTCTTGTGTCCATGCTAGGGTCAGGTCAATCACAATGGCAAGGGAGATCGAGAACTCTGATTTGTCTAGTCTGTTATACACCGTGACCTGGAGAGTTGAGTCTGTCCCAGAGGAGAAGGTGGTGCTGGAAAGGTTGATAACTACTCAACATCACTTTAAAATTTAAAAATCACTCTTCGGATTTATAGCTTTTGAGTCTCATCTCCACCTTGTGAAGCGGGCAGGGCAAGAATTTCTAAGGCGGCAGATGGAGTAACGTTGGTGGCAAAGTCTTCGTCATTCTTTCCATTGAGAGATGGAATGATTTCCCCATCCCTTGAATCTGAGCTGGCGCTATGCTGCTTAAATAATGAAATGTGCTAAAACTTACCACTAGTTCTTGCACTCACCTTTAAAAACCATTGCAACTTCCATTTTCTTTTTCTGGGAATACTTAGTCTTAGCATGAGTTCCCTCTTGGACCTTAGCCACCATGGAGCGAAAAGTCCAAGCCACATGGAGAGGCCACATGTAGGTGCTCTGCTCAACAGTCCCGGCTGAGCTTTCAGCTGCCAGGTAGCATTAACAGCCAGCCAAATTGAGTGCACCCTTTTGGACATTCCAGTACAATCAACCCCCCAGATGGTTACAATTCTGTCAAGACGGTATGGAAATGAGCCACCCAAATGAAGTCATTCAACTCACCACATTGTAAAAGATAATACATGGGCTGCTATTTTAAGCCTTTACATCTTGGCCTAGTTTGGTTGGCAGCAAGATAACCAAAACAGAAGCAAAGGCACATTTCTTAAGGTGACAGAGAGAGGATGTGGCCGAGCTGAGCTGCTAAACTAAATGATACTCTGACTGTAAGCCCTGCTTTCTTTGACTTCCTGTCTCCCACCAGACAGTGAGTAAACCTTGATTCAAAATCTCCAATTGTAGAAGTTCAGCCTCAGGAGGCAGGTAGGGGAAGTAAGCTAGCATCTAATTCATTCATTCAACAGATTTTTGCTAAATTCCATGTGCCAGGTGATGGAACAAAATGCATTCCCTGTTCTCAAGGAACTCTCGAGATACCCTATTGAACAGTTGATTTCAAAATGGACTGGCAAGTATTCTAATAGGAAATAGTTGGACAGTAAACAAGGCATAAGGTAATAGGCACCTTTTGTTGGGTTTAGAAAGGTATCTCTGAGTCTGTGTATTGGGGGCTGCAGAGTATTATAAAAGTAACACAATGACTCATCAAGGTTACTGTCGGAGGGAAAAAAATGGGAGGAGATGCAAACAGGAGTCCTAGCATTTGGGATGAAGACACGAGTGCTAGTCCTGCGTCTACCCGGTGCTTGTAGTACTGTCACTGAACCATTCTGCAACTCGGCTTCCTGGACTTGATGTCCCCTCCTCCAAAGCCTTCCCTCGGTTTTAGCATTCCTTTGAGTTTGGTCTCCTAGCGCTGCAAATTCTCCTCATGTGGGCTCATCCACTACTATAGCTTTGGTGATTACCTATACAACAAAACCCACCTCCATCTGCCAGCCCAGGCTGGCCACCAGGGTCCCCATCTGCTTGGTGGACATCACTGGCTGTGCCATAGGCATGTCAATTTTCTCTTGTCCAAAGATACTCTCATCACCTACCTACTTAAAAGACGAATTCCCACTGCTAATTTCTCACGCAGTTAGTGGCACCCCCATCAATAGTCCTGCGCCAGCTAGTGACCTGTGAAGCTAATTTTCACGCGTTCTCTTCAACCTCACGTGCTATTGCTTCTCAGGTACTGCTAACTTTGCAATCTGTAAATATTTCGTAAGACATGCGTTTGTCTTAACATTCCGGTCCCAGTGAACCGTGTAGTTAGTACATAAAGGTACATCCCAAGGTATCTTCGTGACCAAAGTCACCCTCCTGACATCGTGCAAATGGCTTCACCTTTCTCCCTCGCTGCCTCCCGCTCTCTAAAACGAGCACGTGGAGAGTCAGCAGGGCAACTTCAAAGCCACCTTACCTATGCGAAACAATGGGCCCTTGGGTGACGCAGGTACCAGGGTACAAGCGAGGGCCGTGCGCGTACGCGGGAAGGCGGGAAGGCGGGCGGGCTGGGACTCCGCCGGCGCTCCCGGCGGCCCCCGCGGGAGGCGGGACCGAGCGGTTCCCGCGCTGCGGCCCCGCCATTGGCGGGCGGTTTGAATGGCGGAAGTGACGATGGCTTGGCCATGGCCGCCCCCCAGGCGCTCAAACGGCTGTTTGGAAGCTGCAAGGCCGTGGCTACCCGGGCCTGCTTCCTCGGCGACCCGGTTCCTTGCTCCGGCTCCCCCTTCTCAGGTGAGTGGCGCCCGGACGCCCCGACGCCCTGGGGAGCGCGACTGCCAGACGCAGAGCCTCCGGCTGGGGCGGAGGCCTCCCGGGGCGGCGGGCTGGACCGGCGGGTCAGCCCTGCGGTGGGTGGCCTGGGTTTGCTGTTGCTAACGCCTCGCGGTGCGTTCGCCCCACTTTCCCCCCCCCCTCCCCCTTGAGCTCACGAGTTCGAAACCTGACACCCCGGAGCCATTTAGAGCTGTCCCTGGAATTGTTTTCTTTAGCGAGCGTGTGCCCTCTTTTGGGGTGTGCTACCTTTACTTTCCCAGGTATTCCACCCGACTACTACTCAAATTTTTAAAGCAGTGGCTCACGCCTGAACCTTTAATATTTAGGGTGCATCTGGCAATTTCACGTTCAAGCGCAGTCATCAGAACAGCCTGTTAAGGGCAGCTACACATGTAATGGTCCCCATTATTACAGATCAGAAAGCTGAGACCCATAGTGCGTTAATGAACTTGGCCAGCATCTTTTTGCTGGTAGTTGGCAGTCTTGAGCCCCAGCCTGGGATTAATTGAGTGATTACCCTGTGCCCGTTGCTTTGTACATACAGCCTCATCTCATCCTCAGACAAAACCTTGACAATTAATAGAATGCTCCGTTGTTTGGATAGGAATAATGCATAGAGTTCTTTTTTAAACCCCTAGTGATCTGAGTAAAGAGGTAAACGGGGTGCTGGGGCACTCCGATTGTAAGTAGAATTCCACTTGGTAAGTGTAGAAAGTATAAAGAGATAGAAGGTAGCCACTGGATGATCACAGCTGTCTTAAGCAAGCATCATTCGGAGATACTAAACGTCGTGCACCAACGGATCATGACAAACAGGATATTTACATATTCTCAACCTACCCAAATACTTAAAATTTACCAGGGAATGTCTTAGCATTACAGTGGGAGAAAACATGGTAGACAGCACTTTGATCAGTGATAATCACATCCCCTGTAGTAAGGTCCACATGGTTTGTCTCCTGACAGAGTGTACCGAGAAGGGCACTTCAGCCCTATTCTTGCCCCAAACACAGACAAATCCAAGTGGAAGGATGTTCAGCAAAATAACTGACCGGTATTTTTACAAAAAATGTCAAGGTTTTGAGAAGAAAGGCAAAGGCAGGCTGGAACTGCCCCAGATTAGAGGTGACAAAACAGGCATGACAAACTTGGAAGCTGAGAATTTACAGTATATATCCAAGTAGAAGCCATCCCCGAATATCAACTGAGGCACCTAATTTTACCACAAAAACAGCATTAAAAAGGTGCTGGAAAACTCGGCTTATACACGAGTTTATGTGGTACTTGGGGATGTAATTGGCAAAGTACCTCAGCTGCTGCACTCCGAAATCCTTTGGCACCAAGATGAGACAACACTTCTCAGGACTGAGGATGGTTGAGACACAAAAGCAGATCTGTGCCTGGGGGACAGGGAAGGTAAAATGAGGGCCCCTTGGGGCCATTTCTGAGCTACCCAGCCTGCTTTCTTTCAGTGTCAGGCTTCAGTCTGAGGCTCTCCCAGTCTTTACCAGCTACCTCCCTGTTTGCCCTCATGATGCCCTTGAGGTTTTAATCCCATCTTGGCATCTGCTTCCTGGGGACCCACACTAAAATGCAGTGTGTGTTGGATTGGATCCTGGTCCACAAAGGGGCATTAACGTAACAGTTGGCAAAGTTTGAATTAAGTGTGAAAATTAATTAAAAAGTCTAGTGTCAATGTTAATTTTCAGGTTAAATCTGAAATCACTTCCAAGTGATGAGTTTAAAATATATTCACATGAAAACAGTTATTCTCTCACATTGTAGGACTAGAAATAACATGTACTGTATATGTTAACCTACAGCAAGTACTCTGACAGATGAGAATGATGATTGATATTCAGAACAATGAATTTTTATTTTTTATGAAATTTAATTTAGAATATAGCATACAGTGTACCATTTGATACCTTTTTGCATATATTTCTGTGTAATGATCACAGATTAAAAATATATAGCATTTCTAGCATTCTAGAAGGCTCCTTTGTGTGCCCCCTTCCAGTCAGTAATCCCCACAAATGATTCTCTATTGTAACCTGACACCCTGGATTAGGCTCCCATGGTAATGGAATGTTACAGTAGGTTCTCCTGTGTGTCTGACTTGTCATTCCGTGATATTTTCTTTGTGATACTTTGTGGGGCATTCATGTTAATGGTTTTAATGTGAGTGGATTTTCAAAGCTCTCCAAACAAATTAACAAAGAAATGCTATGAAGACTAAATTCAGTCTTGCTTACGTTTTTTCTTTTTTGTTCAGTTTGTCCTTGTTCTTCGGTCCCCAGTCATGAAAACATCAGCTTAAATAACATTTGCCTGCTTCTAAAGGTGGCTGTCTGTTTTGGTTTGTCAGAAAGTTAGGAACCATTTGGAATTAAGAAACTTTTCTTGGCTTAACCATAAGATATTGTCACTTAGAGCAAGTCTTTTAACTGCAAAGGTTTTTATTCATATCTAAAATCGGGAAACTGTAGGCACTGAACATTATCAAAGTCTTGTGGATATCAAATGAGTGGGATCATTGGAAAAGATTTTAATATGCAAGTTAGAAAGTGTTAAATTATAATTTTGAAAACATTCTATACTGACACATCTTTTTATGTTGTTTTGCTTTTTTTATGTTTAAACTAAGTCTAAAGCAAACTGCCATCGAGTCAGTTCCAACTCAACAACCCTAGAGGACAGGGTAGAACTGCCCCTGTGGGGCTCCTAGTCTAACTCCTTATGTGAGCAAAAAGCCTCATCTTTGGCCCTTGGAGCTGATGGCTTCCTACTGCTCATTCAGTTCTAGAAGTGCCCATCAGGAGTAAGTCAGGTCTTAGAGTGAACTGCGCAGAGTGAACACTCCTCGCTGCAGGTGGGGTTGTATGTTGTCCATGTGATTCTGCTCTCCTCTCGGCCCTTTTCCCATCTGAATTAACTGCAATTGCAAATAGACTGGACTTCCTGTTTGCAAAGTTATTATTTGCGTGCAATAGCCCTTTAAATGTCACTGAAAAACTATTCTTTGTTGCCATCTTAGTGGTGTATATTTTTAAAGACTTTCTTCCTTAAAAAAATAAATAAAACTTTCACATTTGAAGTGCCCAGAAATGAAGAGAAAAGCCGTGAAGGCTGGCAAGCTGAGACTGAGCCCCAATGAAGAGGCAGTTGTGTTGAAGGAAGATTATGAGAGGAGACGGAAGCTGAGATTGCTACAGGTACGGCTTTTTTGGAGAAGCGCATCTGGTTTCTTGTCTTCCTCCAAGTTATTTGTATTTTCCACATTAGAGCATTCTAAGTAAAATTTTGCTTTTAAACGCCTTTTTGCTCGAGCGCCCGCACTGTCTGCTGCGTTTCACAGATGCTGCAGTTTTTATAAATTGAAGGTTCATGGTAAGCCTGGCTTGAACCAGACGTGCAGCCGTCTTTCTAACCGCATACACTCACTTCATGAGTATCTGCCACATTTTGGAATGCTTGCAATATTTCAGTCATTTTTTATCAGAAATTTTTTATAGTGGGTTGATTGCCACTGGGTTGATTCTGACTCATCATGACCCTCTAGGACAGAACAGAACTGCTCCATAGGGTTTCTGAGACAGTAAGTCTTTATGGAAAAGCTTTGTCTTTCGCCCATGGTGACTGAACTGCCAACTTGGGTCAGCAGCCAACACCTAACCCACTGTGCTGGCGGATCGCCACTCGTATGGTGTGAACGTGACTTTCATATGCATTAGGAACCAGAAATGTTGTGACTTGCTTTTTTATAATATTTTTTTTAACTCTGCTGTTGTGATACAGCTTTTGCAGTTGTCTGGAACTGAACACAGTGTCTCCAAAGTAGACCTGTAACTAGTTGTGGACCATTTGAAAAGTGGGATGAGATGGTAAATAGATTGAGGAATTGTTGGCTGATAAGGATTATTTGAATTAATAATTATTTGGAAACATTTTTAATGTTTTCTAAATTACAACTGATGAAGATTAGGAGGACTCAAAAAGATTATTAATTGCTGAAGTGAATTTATTGGGGAAGTCACAGGTATCCTTTTCTAGAGCCCTGGTTCTGTGTTGGGCTACTACCCTCAAGATCAGCCGTTCAAAACCACCAGCCACCCATGGGAAAATGTTGAGGCTTCCTACCCACTTAAACAGTTACACTCTCGGAAGGCCCCAAGGCAGTTCTACCCTGCCTTAGAGGGTCACTGGTTGGAGTCAACTTGATGGCGTGAACAAGACGTCATTTGAGAGTAAAATAGTTACCTATGAAGCATGTTTGAGGTGCCCTTCTGTCTAGCATCAAAGGTGCTGCACCACATAAATGTAGTTCTCGTCTGTCTATCTCTCTTCCTGCTCATCTGGGCTACGCGTGTCCTGAATTATTATTTTAGCCTCTCGTGTTGTGTCTGTTGTTAGGTGCATCGAGTCAGTTCCTACCCGTAGAGACTCCATGCACAACAGAATGAAGCACTCCCCAGGCCTGCACCGTCCTCACAGTTCTTCCTGTGCCTGACCCCATGGTCAGTCTCGGTGTCGGCCCATCTCATCGAGGAGCTCGCTCCTTTCCACTGCCCCCTACCGAGCATGATGTCCTTTTTAAGGACCTGGTCTCCTGGATGTCCAAAGTTTGTGAAACAGTCTCAGCGTCCTTGCCTCTAAGAAGCGAATACTCTAGACGCACTAGAGTGAAAATGGTAGTCCCATTAGTATGTGAGCCTGCAGGGAGATAATGGAAACTTTAGATAGGTTTTTTGCTTTAGATAGCCCTTGACTGGTATGATATGACTATCCAGGAGAACTTATAATGCTTTGAAGATAATTTATTTGAGTTCCTGTTTCTAAAGAGCTTTTTTAAAAAAAATCAAGTCTTCTTTTATATAATCCCCTAAATACTTGTACTTTAGGTTCGAGAACAAGAAAGGGATATCGCGTTACAGATAAGAGAAAACATAAAACAGAGGAGGAATCAGCAATTCACTCAATTGGCAGAGGAGCTAAGGGCAGAATGGGAAGAATCACAAACTCAGAAAATCAAGAGCTTAGAAAAACTGTATTTGGCAAGTTTAAAACACATGGGAGAAGGACATCGACAGGCCAAGGAAAATGTAAGTGAGCGCTCTACTTGACTGCGTATTGATTGTAAATTGTAGTTACTGAGTGTTTATATGATAAAAAGCTCTTTTATATGCAGTTTGTTACTTTCTGTATTGGTTTAGAAATATACTGCAATACCATCTAGGAAGAGGGACTAGTTTAGTTTCTTGGTAGCAGTGATGTCAATGAAAATGTGCTGTGGTATTTAAATTAGTATCACCCTCTTCCAGTCCTTATCTCTTTAGATACATGATCACCTCTGAACCAGAAGGAGGAAGAACTCAGACTTCCCATTTCAGTGTCATTCCTGAGCCCTCTAAACGTGTATGCTTAGATGTAATACCCACAGATGAAATTCACAAAGAGTAGAAATCCTGTGTTCACTCTTCTCCAAAAAGTAGAGCTTAATATAGAAGTCTCCCTGACCCAATCTGATTTGATCATTGCTGTGATTTATTGCTGGAAAGGATTAGAGTGCAGCCCCGGAGACAGCCTCACACAATAAGCTGGCTTCTGTGAAGGCAAGTCTTTGATAAGCACTGGTGAGGAAAACAAATGTCCTGGGAGAATAGGGCAATCAGATGCAGCCCTTGGTCCCTGGGGTTAACTCTGCTCTCAGGTGGCTGTAACTGTCTGTCCCGCCACAAACTTGGGGCTTCAGTGCAGTTTCCATTTCAGGACTTGCCCTCTTCTTAGGGCTTGTCCTGATTAAGGAGCCACTAAGTTATCACGTACCTGGGCTTTTCATTTAAATGGGCTCCTTTTTTCTTTTACCTTAAACTATTTGAGTTTAAAAAAATTAGATTAACTTCCAAGTAGCATGTTTTGGAAATGCTGTTGTAGTCGGTGGAAGAAGATAGCAAAATTGAAAAGTTACTTCTGTTCTTTTTTTTTTTTTAAATCATTTTATTGGGGGCTCATACAACTCTTATCACAGTCCATACATACATCAATAGTGTACAGCACATTTGTACAGTACATTCATTACCCTCATTCTCAAAATATTTGCTCTCCACTTGTTACTTCTAACAGCAGACAAGATGCTTTCCTATTAATCTCGCTTGGCATGACATTTTAAGTAATACCATATTTTTAGGAACCCGATTTGGATGGTCTGGCACAGCGGGCAGCAGAAAGGAGAAAACGAGCAGAAATGAGGCATAAAGAGGCACTGAAGATACAAAAAAATCAAAAAGAAATATTAATGAAACAGAAAAACCGGTGACGTAATATTAGTTTTTACCTTATTCCCAACGGAAATGGACTTGGCTGGCCGTGGAGTGTACACTGGATACTCTGTATAAAAGGACACCTACTGAATTTGTTAGATCTGGTTTAAAATATTGTCATGTGGGAGAGCATAGTAACAAATGAGCTTTCCTTCGCAGTTGTAGTCTGCTGGGCTCGTCGTAATTAACCGAGTTTCTGGAGAATGTGCCGACTCAGGCTGTTCTTGTCCACCTGAAGAAAGAAATCCGTGTTTTTAAAATGTTATGGACTCTGGGAGTCATTAGTATTTATGCAAGTTATGAAAGTTAAGGATCAGCGGTGATCATTTCATACAATGGCTCATTTTTATCAGCATCTCTGGTTGCTTTATACTAAACAGCAGAGATTATAGGATAAAGATGCAAGACTTCCTGAGTTGGTTTTCACTATAGACCTGTTTGTCTTTGGCTGTGTTTCTCTTGATGGTTTGTCCATTTTTAAAATTTGTATGCACAAAGCCCTGTAAATATCAAAAATAAGCCAAACCCACCTCCTCAAGTTGATTCCGACTCTTATAAACCCTAGACGGAGTTTCCGAGGCTGTACATTTTCATGGGTAGGAGAGGATGGCCTTCTCTTCTGAGAACCGGCTGGTGGCTTTGAACTGCCAACCCCTTAGTTAGCAGTCCAGTGCCTACCTGATAGCTCCACAGGGGCTCCTTCCAAATGTCAACAGTATTTAAAAAATATTCTTAAGTCTACTTTATATAGCTATTAAAGAATATACTGGACTTGTGGGATCAGAATAAAGAGTTTCTTGAGAGCCTGTGTTTGTTGGCATTTTCACTCAAGGATTGTGCTGTGCTGTCATCTCTATTGTCGAGTCCTTAATCTTTGCAATGTAAATAAAAACGCTCACTAATGACTCCCGAATAGTCCAGACCATTACTACTTCAAGAGGAGTAACCCTAGTGGCATTGTCAAATAAGCATTGCACTGCTTGCAAGGTTGGCGGTTCAAATCCACCAGCAGCTCAGCAGGAAAAAGGTGAGGCTGTCTTACTCCCTTATAGCCTCAGAAATGCTATTCTAGGGTCCCTGTGAGTTGGAATCCTCTCAGTGGCAATGGATTTGTTGCTTATTAGCTGAAAAGTTAATCTATTGTAACTTTTGTTTCCTTAAGGCATATAGATGCTCGAAAGGAAGCTCTGCTTGCAGAGAAGGAGAGGTCTGCCAAAATTACCAGTTTACCACCGCCTCCGCCGACTCTTCTCGAGGTAAACAGAGACAAGTCATAATAATCTCCTGACAGAGGTCAAAGTAACCTTAATATTTTTAATTGCACCAGTGGCCCATGAACATAGCTGGAGTATTTAAAAATAAACCTGAAATACCACCATTTTACCTATTAAAATAGTATAGAGTTCTGATGCATAAGGACTTTTTCTTAAAAACATAACTATAATGCTATTATGGTCCCAATATTATCTAATTGAAAATAGGGCATAATAAACAGGGGTAGACTGAATCTGTTTTTATGACAAAATACAGAAAAGAGAGAATGGTAGTTTGTCCTGTGAATTGTTTTGTTCTGGAATAAGAATGATTTAAATATTGGCCAGTGTTGACCAAAATCTAAGAAGTCAGCCTTAGTATGAACTAAATTAGAATTTTGTGATTAGATATGGACTAGAACATAATAGTTCATGTTCTGTTTTCCTGGAAATAAGTAGAATTCTACAATTTCATTTCATATACCTTATAAGACAGTGGTTCTCAGGGGAACAACCCTTTTGGGGGTCGAACGACCCTTTCACAGGGGTCGGCCGATTGATAACAGTAGCAAAATTACAGTGATGAAGTAGCAAGGAAAAGAATTGTGAGGTTGGGGTCACCACCTCAACTCGAGGACCTGTGTGAAGAGTCCCGGCCTGGGGAAGCTGAGAACCACTGCTGTAAGCTGAGCGTGGTCGTGTCAGGGGATTGCCAGGTGAAGTCTCGCTAAACAAGAGATTACAGTCGGAATTGAGGTGAATGAAAAACCGTGATGGATTATTACTTCAGAGATAGCTAGAAAGTGGGGGGGGGGGGGAACAGGTAGATTGGCTTATAGTTGACTGTAATCAATCATAGTGAGGACCACCGTAGAAAATGTGTTGAGGTCCCAGTGACTCTTGGAAACCAAAGCTGGTACTTTTATTAAATCTGGAAATAATTTAACTCAGAGAAAAAAGAGATTTATTTTATTGTGAATGGCCTTCAGTTTATCTGGGATCAGAGTAAGTGGTTAAAGTGAGAAGTGATTGTCTTGGGTTCTGCTTTAACTGAAACAATACTTTTTAATTATGCTTTATGTTCTTTCTTGCGTGTGTTCTATTTTTCAGAACATTGATGTAAAGGGAATTCCTTCTGTAAAGACCAGTAGTGCTACCTATCATCATCTTAACCCTCTTGTGAATAGAGAGACGGGCACAAAGCAGGTGATTGACTTATTGTTCACGGCCCTCACGTTATGATTTCTGTGTTCAGGGAGTTGAATTCTATCTTGGCTCTATCTACATGGGGCATTCAAAAAGTTTGTGAGAAAATTCCATTATGTTTTAATTCCATTTTTCCTTAAATTTATTTAATCATTTTAAATCATTTTTTGTGATCATACAACTCATCATAATCCTTACATATATTCATTGTGTCAAGCACGTTATGTACATTTGTTGCCATCATCATTTTCAAAATATTCTCTTTCTACTTGAGCCCTTGGTATCAGCTCCTCATTTTTTTCCTCTCCTTAAAATGTTTTTCAGCTCCCGCCTATATATTTCCAGTTATCAAAATTTGAACAGTGCTACTAGTGATTTTAGGGTAATAAACTCACTGCTATCCAGTCTGTGCTGGCTGTTAGCAACCCTGTTGGACAGGGCAGAACTGCCCCTCTCCAGGAGTAGAAAACCTGGCGGTTCTGAAACCACGCGTACCACCGCGCCCATGCCCCCGAGCTCCTTTTAGGGTGCTAGTGACCAGAACCTCTGACTACGCTTTGAATTTCTACGTCATGTGCTTTGTGAATGATGGCTTAATTGGAATGAAAGAAAGTAGTTAGCCATTTAAATGGCCATATTTTTAAATCATTAACTTAAAAAAATTTTTTTTAGAGAAATAAGACATAAACTTGTAGCTGTATACTTAAGTATAAACTATAGGAAAGGCACCTATAATTTCATTGCCAAAGGATAATAAGTTAATATTTTAATTAATATTCTATTTATATGTAAACATACACAATTAGCCTTCAGAAGGTTCGTGGAAAAGTAGATTTAAAAGAAAATGGGATTTTTCAATGAACTTTTTGAAGCACATTCATTCTTGAGAAATTATTTTTATCATTTCATAATTTTGAATTATTTTTTTATAGCTTGCATGTTCCTAAAAATAAATATATATTTTAACAAGTACTTAATATTTCATCATAGTACATATTTGACTTCCATTTATTCCTTCTATAAATAATGTTACACTAATGATCTTGTGTGTCAATGGCTTCTGATAAACAATAACATCTATATGTGGAGCAGATTAATAGAAGATAGATTGTTGGTTTCAAACTATATAAACATTTTAAGAGACTTGATACAGATCACTCAGTTGACCTTTAAAAAGCATCGGCACATAAATTTTTTTTTTAAACAAACAAAAAGCACCTGCACCCATACTTACCACCCTTGCCTGCATAGAATACCATGGCTTAGAAAAATGTAGCCAGGCTTTAAAAGTGACAAATGCTACCTACTTGTTTCTATGATTGTTGTTTTTATTGATTGCAGCAGTATCTTTCCTTTCCCACCCCGTGTTTGTGGGCGGGTTTGGCTACTAGAAAAATAAACTTCCTCAATATAGCATTCACATTGGTGCTAAAAATATTCCAATAATATATTTGGTTGACTGATTAATAGCAGGTGTTAATATCAATGTGTAGTCGCGACCTGTGTTAGTCTGGGTGCATTAGAGAAACATCCACAGAAACTCATGAATGAGAGAGAGTTTTATATAAAGGGTATATAAGTGCGCATCAAGAAAACATCCCAACCCAGTGCTGCCCAAACCCACAAGTCCAACATTAACCCATATGTCCGACACCAGTCTACAAAGTCCTCCTCCATCTCACAAAACAGACGCAATGATGCCGACTGCAGGAGGAAAGCCGGGTCAGTGAACGTGTAAACATCTCAGCACTGGCAGGGGTCTCCACACGGGTGCTCCAGCACCCAGGGCTGCATCAGGGTAGGTCCATGTGGCTCTCCTCAGGGGCGTCCTGCAGGAATTGAGCCCCGTCTACTAAAACAGGGAACTGGCCAAGTCAGCTTTACCCTGGTCTGACCATCACAAAGCAAGAGACCCAAGAACTAGAAAGGTGAGGCTCACGGAGCCATTTATCCCTCCGCCCTTCATTAAGATTGGTGATGAAAGGCTTTAATTTGTTTTTTCGTCTAGCCCCTTTGGTATAGATTACTATTGATATTGTTGCATTGTCGCTAGCTTTTGTTTTTTATAGCAAAGTATCTGTCTCCTGTTTAATTTCTGCATTTGAAGAGTAGCTCAGTAGCCATAGTGCAGTTTTATAAAAGCAGTCCCTCAAACTAAAGCTTTGCGTGTTGCTTGAAGATGAGGCTTTTAAAATCTTTTCAAGATACAAGCTTCTAATGGTTGTTCCCCCTTTACATAACATTCCTGTATCATGCTTCACACCATTATTTAGGAAAATCTTCTCTTAAACCTTGATATTAGAATTTGATGTTGAAGGAATGTGCTTCACTTTCAAGATAACCAAATATCTTTGACTGTTCTTCTGTAGTTCATGAAAGGGCAATACATTTCCCTTCCTTCCCTTGAGTTTAAAATGGTAGGATCCCTACAGGTGTTTCATGTAAGAAATGCTCGCACGCTTAGTTTACATGTTTGGTTGTTGCTTAGCAGCTTTGTGTAAATGAACTACATTAATTTGTTTAATTAGCCTTTTTATCATAAAAGCTGCTGTGATGCCTTGTTTGCACATCCTCAGTAAGTCTTTGACTGAAGAACGTAGAACCAGTAATTCTCTAAGTTGTGTTATGCTACATTTATTTTCAATACACAATTAGACAAAACATCGGTACTGAAGTTCCTGAATTACTTACTCACGGCCTTCATTGCTTGCTCCTTTGTCAGTGCTAGTGACATTTCACTTATTTTAAATGGGCTTTCCATTCCAGAAATATTTCTCTATTTAGGCCACTGTATTGTTTGCTGAGAGACCTAGCAATGTCTGCAGACATGTAAAGTCAGAGCAATTAAATTCACCATCAATTTATCATGCTGTCCAAGTTAGCAAGATTTCTGTCTAGATGTCTAAGGGTCGAGATGCAGAAATAGTATAGTCAGTAGTATCACTTAATATTTTGGGTAGCAGATTCATAAAAAATTTCAGAAACATGTTTTATAAACAGAGTTCTTTTGCCTGAGATTCAGATTATGCCGAGTTCACGTGTCTTTTTGATGACTGATAATGAAATCTATAAAAATGTCACAATTATGTGTGCCTTTTTTGTTTTGTTTTGTTTTGTGTTTATGTTTTTAATTGTTCAAGCGGACTTCCAAATGTTCATAGAAAAATGGAATTAACAGATGATGAATATTTAAGCCCCCTCACAATGGTATAAATGTAAAACTGACTATTTTCCCTAAGTCATTCTTAGAAAATTGTGTTTTCAAGTGTGATCAGTAAGAATGAGCTTTGTTTCGGACACCTTTTCACAAAGATCCTTTCTTCTTGTCCTTTATGTACTTGGTGTGTCAGGACTAAAGATGCCTTTCATGCATGCTGTATGTCATTGAACATCCTGTTTTTAATTTGCCCTCAAAACACCTATATCAAACATTCTTAAGGGCTTTGTCTTGAAAAATGGGTTGAAGTATTCTTAAAGTTTACCTTGTCTACTGTTAGGTATAAATTGATATACCAAATAATTCTGCAAAAATGGTCATTTTTATTTAATCTAACCTTTGCTATCCCACTTGGTGTTATTTAGATTTGCATAGATGTTTATTGATTCAAAAGAGATACATAGTTTTGTTTATAAACTTTTTGGTCAGTGGACTCTTTTCTTACTATAGTATTAACTGTCCGTATGTTTCCCTATTTAATCTTACTATCTGAGTTTTTAATCATTTTTCATGTAAGGTTAATAGTTTTCACAGGCATCCATTATCGTTTCAACTGATTAATAGAATTTCTGCATATAAAGTACTTATAAGAGTAAGCCCAAGTTACCTCTCATTTTTTGTATTCCTTTCACTCTGAATGAGAGTGGACACAATGGCAGTGGGTGTGGGTTGGTAGACTGCAATGAGGGCTGACTATGCAGTGGCAAGATCATTATTTCTACAGAAGTTCCAGAGAGTCAGAGCTAACACTGACCTAGTTGCTTTGGCAACTTGGTCCTACTGAGGCTGAAGCCGAGCCCCAGATTTTGTCTGCAAAGTCCAAATGTTGTCAGTGCTTCCCAAATTTTTTTAGGTGAATATTTATTTTTGTGGTTTACTAGCTGCTAGGTTTTTTAACCTTTTAATATTTTCATTTTAATGGATTTTTTTTAATTGATGAAGATAGAGGGCTGTGGTTTAGATGAGCTTTGCCTAACCTGGTTTAAATTTAACAACTAAATTTTTCATATTCTGACTACTAATTTGATCCGTTTCCTAGATTAGATTCTGTTGATTTATCTAGGTATTTAAAAACAGCTCTTCTAATCCTTTAGTTTTATAAAATAGAAAAATGTGATTGTGGAGTTCTTTTGTTTTTTAGGTAAGACGTTAATTCCGTTCTGCACACTTTATTTTTAAGTTATCTAAAATGATATTAATTGACTGCTAGCCAGATCCTCATTCGGCTGCTGCGGAAGAAGCTAAACGCCTGGAAGAGCTACAGAAACAAGTAGCACAAGAGAGACAGGAACAGTTTGAAAAGGCACATGTACGGGGTTTCCACGCAATGAAGAAGATCCATTTGGCTCAGGTAAGAATAATATTTTGGCAGTGACCACTGGTAGCAGTGCAAAACCGATCAGTGAGTGGGCTCACACTAAGAAACTGAGAGAGTATTACAACACTGTCTCCTGATTCATTTCCTTTCCAGTTTTATCAGCTTGGGTAAAGTTATTCTCACAGTATATCACTATACTTTTGCTAATGGTAAATTTATTAACAGTGTCATATATCTTTAAATCGTTTTATTGGGGGCTCTTACAGATATTATAACAATCCATAAATCAAGTATCTCAAGCAACCTTGTACGTATGTTGCCATCGTCATTTACAAAACATTTTTCTACTTGAGCCCTTATTATCAGTTCCTCTTTTTTCCCCTCCCTCCCACCTTCATATCTTACACTGTCTGCTGTATCCCTTCACTTGTGTTTCTGTTATTCATTCCCCTTTGGGGGGGTGGGTATGCATCTCATTGTTATCGGCTCCCCACTTCTCCCCCTCCCCTTATGGTATCGCTATTCCCATTACTGTTCCTGAGAGAGGTTTATCTGACCCGGCTTCTGTGGGTCAAAAGCTCTGGTCTAGAAGGACTTGTGAGGTCAAACTGGGGCCATGGTAGTGGGAAAGAAGCATTAAAGAACCAGAGGAATGTGGTGTGTTTTGTCGGTGCTATGCTACCCCATAGCTGCCTCGTCCCTTCCACGTGACCAATGTCATATTTCAGTCAGTTCAAAAATAGCCTGAGAAGAAGTTGCTATATCGAATCAGTTTCCTAATTTAATTAGTTAAATTGCATTTGTGCTCCTTAAATTTAAAAGCTCCATTCAATAATAATAAGTAAAATACTTGTTGGCTTTGTACAATATTGATTCAAAGGTAAAGTCATCCTTGCTTGTGTCATACTTTGCAAAAGTGTTCTGGTCACCGACATGCAAAAGAGATATGATAAAAACTGACTTTCTTGTTTTTTATGCAGCATAATTTCCATTATATTTTTAATTTCCACCAAACCCACCCCCCGACAGTGGGTTGATTTCATCACTGAGTGACCCTATACAACAGAGTAGAGTGGCTCCACAGGCCTCCTGAAGGCTGTATATGTTTGTGGGGAGCAGCTGGGGGATTCAAATTCTCCACCTTCCAGTTAGCGGGCCAGCTCTAACTTACTGCACCACCGGTTCTCTTACTGGTAAAATGTTAACATAAAAGTGATTAATCTTGTTCTAAGTCTGAATTTGACTAACATTTGGATGTCATAAGCCCTCATTAAGAACAAAAATTTGATAGTTTGGTACCCATCTTTGTATAATGATGCTGGTGATAACTGTTAACTTACATGAAATATGATTAAAAGCTCAAATAATGAGATTAAATAGGGGAAAAGATTGACAGTTAATAGTGTATTAAGAAAAGAGTTGACTGTCTATCTTATGAAAGTCTGTGATTTGAAATAAATGATTACCTTCTCAAATCTTTAGCTTTTAGAACTGACCATATTACAACTAAAATAATTTAGGAGCCTTGATGGGGTAGTGGTTACTTGTTGGACTGCTAACTGTAAAATAATTGAATTTCCGAATTAGTAGTAGTAATTCTCCTTATTAGGAACTATCTCCTTATTTCCAAATTATTAGTAGTACTTCTCCTTATCTAAAGCTTAAGCCTATAGTGAAAAATACATGAAAAACAATCTTAAGTTGACTACATTTCTCCATAAAAGCAGTAGTAACATTTAGTTGGTTAAGTAAGTGGGCTCCCTGGTCAGTCTCCCTGGGTTTGCCTCCTTCCTTCATCACATGGCTGTTTGACCCTCAGGTAAGTCATGTAACCTCCCCGGGCTCTGGGTTATCATCTGCTTTGTGAGGATGAGGAGGGAATGGGCATAACAGAGCACATTAGAATCATGCCTGGCATCTCCTCAGCCCACAGGCAGTGGTGGTCAGTATCATAAGAAATCCAAGTAAAATAACGTCGAGTTTTCCATGAGCTTGAAACAGTATATGCAAATAACTTTGAAGGTAATTTAATAAGATGTTTTGAATCATAATATGAGTAGAGAGGGTGGGGTGGAAAGAGGGAACCGATTACAAGGATCTACATATAACCTCTTCCCTGGGGGATGGACAACAGAAAAGTAGGTGAAGTGAGATGTCGGACAGTGCAAGATATGACAAAATAATAATATATAAATTATCAAGGGTTCATGAGGGAGGGGAACAAATGAGCTGATGCCAGGGCCTTAAGTGGAAAGCAAATGTTTTGAGAATGATGAGGGCAATGAATGTACAAATGTGCTTTTCACAATTGGTGTATGTGTGGATTGTGATAAGAGTTATATGAGCCCCTAATATGATTAAAAATATATATATATATTTATGTTCTCATTTGACACTTTATTCCAGTCTCGCTCCTTATGAGAGAAAAGAAAGTCATACGTAAGAATTGCTGTTGAAATTGTGTAATCTTATGTACTGTTAGAGAATTTCCTTCCCCCCATCTTAGTCTGGTGCTGCAGCATAATGGGTGCTGCCCTGTTATGACAAGGCTTGATTTCCTTCTGGTGCCTGTTCTACATAGTACCTTGCTTTTTTACCACCCTCTCCAAGTTTTTTTTCCCTTAACCCCTCTTGTCTTTCATGCCCTAACTATAAAAAACAGAGTGTGTGTACCTAGCACCTCACAGGGTATCTGGCATTCAGCAAATATTTGTTCTATGAATAAATGACTATCTTTTTGTGGCAGAACAATGGAGGAGAGGGGGGACCCCAAGCCCTGTCTCTCATTGTTGTTGGTGTGAATAGTCAAAGTGTGTGACTCAGCTATCTTTGACCTCTCTTTATGCTTGAAGAATCAAGAGAAACTAATGAAAGAACTCAAACAGCTACAACAAGAGGACCTGGCGCGTCGGAGACAGAAAGTAGCACGGATGCCACCGCAGCTAGTTGAACTGCCCTACAAACGCACTGAAATGAAAGAAGCCTGGCAGAGGGAGCTGGAGTTTGCCTTTGAAGACATGTACAGCGCCGGCAGGAGTAAGATATTGCAATAGACTTCCAGCTGGACTTTCAAACGCTTGGGCGGGGAAATAACTTTGTAATGTTACACCATGTTTTATTCCTAAATGAGTTCTCTCTGTCTCTGCCTCTCTCTAATTGAGTAGTGAAAGGAGACCTGATTTTGCACCTTGAACCTGAGCCTGTGCCCACTGTGATTGACCAGACCCAAGATGAGGAGCTGGACCTTTCGATGGAACAAGAAAATGCAAGTGAAACCGAAAATCTGCAAGTGACGGAAGCTGGAAAAATATGTCCTACTGAAATAGATGGTAAAAAAACAAGCCCTTTTGAGTTGACAGTATTTCATAGGAAAAAGGTGTTAATCATTAGCCAACTGTTATGTCTAATTTAAGTACAATGACTAATAACGAGTCGGAATGGTGGCAGGAGGAAACAACATTTTCCAATTTCCATCATAATATAGCAGTGGAGGGTTGTTCTGTTGTTTATTTGTGTGTGTGTGTGTGTGTGTGTAGTCTGGTGATTTTGAGGAGGCTGTTAGATGCATGATTCTGAATTCTTCCCACGCCCAGGCTTTTTCACATCATTTAAGAATACCCTGCTGTATTCAGTTACTGCTGGGTAACTTCATGTGTCATGATGATGAGTAGCTTGTGTTTAGACCCCTATTCTAAACTTTCATCTGTATCTCCACTGTTCTGAACTCTTATTTGGCTGGCTGTCCCACGTGCACTTAAATTCAAGAGTGTCCAACCATAAGTGTGACCTCTGCTACCTCTGAAACCTTTTGCTCTGCTTTGAAGGTGTGACACCACAGCCTGCAGCGCATCTCAAAGCAGACCAGGGGAGTCAGCTTTACATCTGTGTCTAACAAAGGACAGCGCCCTTCACCCTGACGTTGTTTTCCCCAGGCATATTCCTCTTGCCCTCGTTGCACACTTCGTCATTTCTTCCCTGGATTCCTTCAGCCTGATTTGTCGGCTTACAGCCCATTCATTATCTGCTCGAAACTGGAATCTTGTTCCACTTTCTCTCTGAAAGACTCCAGTGGGTCCTGAGAATAAAGTCTGTGCTTTGTTTAAATAGGCTTTGCTGAGGTACAGCTGGCTTGTAGTCAGTAAAATCTACTGCAGTCAAGCTAGAGAGCATCTCCATCATCATAAAAGGTCCCTCACACCCCTCGGCAGTCAGCCTCCTCCTTAGTGCAGTCATTCGCATCTGGATTCTGTCACGGAACACTTCAGAGTGTATGCATCCGGATCTCATTCCTCTCCTCCCTTTTTTCTGAATAGTGTTCTATCGTAGAACTCTGTATCACATGTTATTTATCCATTCAACGTTTTTTAAATCATTTTATCGGGGGCTCGTACAACTCATCACAATCCATCCATTGTGTCAAGCACATTTGCACATTTGTTGCCGTCATCATTCTCAACACATTTGCTTTCTACTTGAGCCCTCCATTCAACAGTTTTGATGGGCATTTGTGCTGTCTTAATTTTGGCTCTCATAGAGAGTTCTGCTTTGAGTGCATTTATGCAAGCCTGTATATGTATGTTTTCATTTTGCTTGATGGATAAGTAGGAGTAGAATTGTTAGGTTGTGTGGTAAATTTGTGTGTAACTTCTTTAAGAAAAAACAACAACAGCCAAGCTGTTTCCAAAGTTGCTGGGCCATTTCACGTCCGCACCCACGGTGTTTGGGCATATGAGAGTGCTCAGTTCTCCACTCAAGGGGTACAAACCCCTCTGGTCCAGCTGGTCTCCCTCGGGGTGGTTGGCTGGGCCGTGTGAGGTCTTTTGAGTCTTAGAAGCTAGCATCTGCATTGTTGTTCCGCCGTGCTCATTGTCAAGTGGTAGTGACTGCCTTAACCTGTTTCCTAAAAACGTGAGAGTAACTAAGTGTATGATTCCTGTTTCTATTAAATGAAAACACACGGGCACAGAGGCAAAAGTAACCTGTGGCACTACGAGAGGGTCCTTATGGGTTAGACGTGACTCAGTGGTGCTATAGGTGAGAAGCGGAGGTGGCATCGGGGTGCTAGAAGACAGTCTGCATATGATCTAGATGCGGTTAGATAAATGCACGGGTGGATCCAACACAAAACAAAACAAACTCACGGCTGCCGAGGCGATGCAGCCTCACGGTGACCCTGTGGGACGGCACAACTGCCCCTGTGAGTTTCTGAGACTGACTCTGTAACGGGAGTGGAAAGCCCTGTCTTCCTTCCAAAGAGAGGTCGGTGGTTTTGAACTGCAGACCTTGCAGGTTGCCGCCCAGTTCCTTGGATAGATGGACAGATTTGTGAAATTCATTGAAAATATTTAGGTTTTGAGTTATAAAACCCAAATAGAAAGTTAAAAGTCACCTCTGTAGATAATCATCAGTTGATTAAGCCAGAAAACAATATACTTTTATCCAAAAACAAAAACCAGTTGCTGTGGGATTGATTCTGACTTGTGGTGACCCGGTGTGGTGGGGTAGAATTATTTCATTGGCTGTCCGTCCATTGTTTGTTTTTATACAAGGCCCCTCGGGGTAGGCTCAAGTTTTAACATTGTATGTATCAATCCATGTAGAAGGATGTGCTTAGAAAAAAGTTAGCATTGTGGTTTTTTTGCATGTGCTTTTTTAAGGGGTCTCCTTATAGAGATACCCACTGCTTGGAGTCAGTTCTGAGTCAGCTTACTGATTATCAGCTCAGTGTCTTACTGACTGCCACCCGAGCGCCTTTCTGTTTTAGAGATCAAATTGAACAGTTTTATTGACGTAATTCACATATCAGACAATTCAGTGGTTTAAAGATGTTTTTCAAAGTTGTGTAGTCATCACCACAATCAATTTTAGAACATTTTCTTCATTCTTATACTCATTATTAGTTCCCCCAAGGGCTCCTTTCTTCATGAAGATAGATGTGAGAAATTTTCCTCAAATAGCACTAGGAATAATTTGGATACACTTGAATTTTTCTGAGTCCTATTAGGGACCCTTCTCGAGTATAGACCCTACATCAATGCAGTGCATGTACAGTTCACTGACTCCAATTACACTGTGGTTGTGCATTCATTCTCACCCATGGAGACTTCAGGGAGTATTTTGGTTATGGTTTAAAAATGATCTCAGGCTCTAGTTTGGGGATTCAGCCATTCTCGGTGACTGTAGACATCAGGTAGGTTTTGTTTTTGGCTTTGTAGCTCTGTGCTTTGGGTGAGAGTTTACACATGCTTTCTTTAGGTAACACTAATTACCATACACACACACACACACACACACACACACGTGTTTACCATTTCCATTTGTCCTTTTTTCTGTCTCCTCCTTCCTTCTGAGCTTCACCCTGGCCAAATGCTGCCCTTTTGTCCTGTTTGCTTGGACGGTCTAATAGCTGTGTGCTCCCTTGTATTGCTGCTCACCGTAGAGGCCTGTGTTGTTTGACTGAGAGCTGAGCTGCAGGGGTGAGTTCAGTTCCACTCTTAAAGGGTGTCCGAGGACCACAGCCTTGGGGGTTCCACCAGGCTTTGTCAGTCCAGTGAGTGTGGGCTTTTTTTATTACCTTGAATTTGGTTTCACATTTACCCCCTGCAGTCTCCAGGATCATCTATTGTGATCCCTCCCTGACCTGTCAGCACTGGTAGCTAGGCACCATCTAGTTCTTCTGGTCTCCTGGTCATTGAGACGGGTGTGTTAGTCTGGGTACTTTAGAGAAACAAATCTACAGAAACTCATGTGAAAGAGAGAGTTTTACATAAAGGTTAAGTGCACATCAAGAAAACATCCCAACCCAGTGCTGACCAAGCCCACAAGTCCAACATTAACCCATATGTCCGGCACAATCCACAAGGTCCTCCTCCATCTCACAAAACAGACGCAATGACACTGACTGCAGGAGAAAAGCCAAGTGAGTGAATGTGTAAGCATCTCAGCACTGGCAGGGGTCTCCACACGGCTGCTCCAACACCCAGGGCTGCATCGGGGTAGGTCCGTGTGGCTTCTCCTTGGGGATGTCTTGCAGGAAGGCAGCCTTGCAAGCTGAAGCAGGGAACTGCTAAGGCAGCTGCACCCTGGTCCAACCATCAGAAAGCAAGAGACCCGAAAGGCTCACGGAGCCATTTATCCCTCTGTCCTTCAATTAACTCCACGTGTTTATTAGCCAGGTTGGCACAAAACACTAACTACCTCAGACGGGTTCACATGATCCCTCGGACTAATTGTGTCTTTAATTTTCTTCACTCTCCTTTGCTCTAGACAGGGAGAGACCAGTGGTTAGTTGCACTTTTGGAGGAGCCCTAGTGTCATGGTGGTTACTAGTTGGACTGTTAACCACCTGGTCAGCAGTTTGAAACCACCCACTGCTCTGAGGGAGAGAAAGACGAGGCTTTCTAACTCCTGTGAAGAGCTAGCAGTCTCTGAAACCCACAGGGCAATTCTACCCTGCCCTACTGTGTCATTATGAGTCAGAATGGATTCGATGACTGAGTTTGGTTTTTACTATTTAAATCAAAGAATTATGTCTGGTTATAACATTATAACCAGTCTTAAAGCTTTGGTATGAATACTGGTAAATTGCAAATGCTGAGAAAAATGACATTGTGTTGTTTGCGTTAGTAGCTAGCTAGATCAGTAACTAAGGATAAGGTAGAACAGTTTGCCTAATCTTTAATAGATGCTGAATAAGATGTTTCCCCGCCCACTTTCCTTTCTCTTTTAGTTCCCTTGGTCATGAAGACCCAAGAAGTCCCTTCAAAAATTCTTTTTACAAAATTATTAAATAAGATCCGAAGCCAAAAATCTCTCTGGACAATACAATCTGTGTCTGAGGATGAAAGTGAAATGATTACAGCTACTAGTGAAGCCCGGAGCACAGCACCAACGGTGGAGTCAGGAACGGTGACCAGTGAGGAGCTCGCGCTGCCCCCTGGGCAGCAACCAGGTGATTCTCTCCAGGAGCTTCACGGGTAGCGCCCGGCCCCATCTCAAGACTGCTTAAAATGTGCTCTTTTCTGAAGAATCAAAGAATAAGACCCACAATCTCTGACAAGTCCTAAAATGTCTAGTGGCTCCCTTTCTGGACTACTTTCTGTGTGTTATTGTTCATGTATATACTTACTAATTCTAAGGAGCCCTGGTGCTACTGTCAGGTCAGTGGTTGAAACCCACCCGCTGCGCTGCGGGAGAAAGATGAGGCATTTGCTCCCGTAACAGTTTGCAGCCTCAAACACCCTGTGTAGGGTCGAGATGGGTCCAAATTGACTGGATGGCCGTGGTTCTTCGGGTTTTGAGTATAAATTCTGTCGTGATTGATGTACCGAAATCACTTTCCTATTGTCAAGACTTTAAACTATTTCAGCTTTTCTTGCCATTCTTGTGCTGCGGTAAGCGTCCTTTTTCTGAGGTCTCTGGCGGCATCTTTCATCATTTCCTTAAAGGAGTGAATTCCTGGATCAACAAATAAGAAGGTGGCAATGACTTTTACATTGTGTTGAATTCACATGCTACCAGATACTTGTCTTTATTAAATTAAAAGAACATTTCTTTTGTAAATAAGTAACCTATTAAATATATTTGGTTTCAGAAGTTACAGAGATTAAGCCAACCCTATCTCCTTGTTTGAGTTATTTACAAGTATCTGGTAATTGGGATAATGTAACTAATTTCTTTTTTTTTTTTTTTTTTTTGCTTAAAGTTTTATCTCAAATTCAAAGATATATGAATTTGTGAGGAAGTCTTGCTACCAGGCTTCTAAAATGAGTCTAAAATTGTATTTGGAACTTGGTTTTTGTTCTAAGAATAATAGGGAACCTTGAAATATTTTCACTTGGCTTCTTGGGACCATCCTTAATTGGTTTACCCCCCTCCCTGATTTTCTTCTCATGGGTTTCTTTGCCCTTCATCTTTGTTGCTACCCCTACAAGCATCGCTCCGAGCTCGTTCCTCATAGCTCCTCTTTCTGTGTCAGCGCCCCAATTCCGTCTCCTCGGATGTCACAATGTTACATTCCCAAACATGCATTTCTAGGCTGGATGGTTAGAGAAAGAAGAAACAGCAAAGTAGTTAAAAGAGGAGTGGCCAGAAAAGTAAGAGACTTTGGTGTTGCAAGCTCAGAAGTGGACCAGGAGGTCTTTCACATTTAATCCATAACCTATGTGGGGGGTTTTCACAAAATCAAGGAAAATGAAATTTTTAAAATTATGAAAATTTCCCACTCCATTTTTGAAGCCCTTCTATATTATTAGACTTTCTCCAGCTCAAATTGTTTTATTCTCCTCACTCCTGACTGTACCCCATACACATTGAATGGGCTGCATTTTTTTAATCCTTCAGGGATCTTTATACTTGCTGATCTTTATGGAAAGACAGTCTTTACCTAGCTGATTCAGAGGTCTGCTTAAATGCCATTTCTTCAGAGAGCACGCATCTGACCCACCAGTCTAAATCAGAGTTCATTATTACTGTGGCCCTCTTTCAGCAGGGAGGTTGGTTGTGCTATCACTCTGTAGCATAACTCCTTTTTGCCCCTTTTAGAGTACTTGACGTAATTTCTAATTTCATAACTTGCTGGGGCATTTATACAATATTTCTGCTCCTCACTCAACACTGTAAAACTTCCTCTGCTGCCTTTCTTGGTTTCCTCAGTGTCCCCAGCATCGAGCCCATAAGTGAATGGCTGAATAATGGAAGCAATTGCTGACTGCTCCAAGAGGGTCCAAGTAAATTGCTTTGACTTCTCTGATCTGGTTCTATACACAACCAAAAAATACAGTCCTTTGCTTTTTCTTTTCCTTTCCTCTTGTGTTTGAAACCCTATGGACTTAGCGTTTTTATCAGCTTTCCTCTACACGGTGCTTTTATTTATACTTTGTCAATCTGTTTTCTTGGACTGACTGGGCTTGAGTTTAATAATAGGGGCTCATCAGGAAAGTGGCTGTATCTAAGTACAACATTGAGGTGGACCAGAATTGAATTGTTACTCTAAATGCCAAATTTGGTTTTACTATTTTTTTAGAGCTAAGCTTGACAATAATTAAAAATTTAAAAACAAAAAAACCAAAGTCCCTGCCATTGAGTCCCAGCTGATTCATAGCAACCCTGTAGGGTGGGTTAGAAATGCCCGTGTGGGTTTAGGAGATTGTAATTCTTCAGGGGACTAGAGAGTCCCGCCCTTGTCCCAAGGACCAGGTAGTGGTTTTAAACTATTAACCTTGCAGTTAGCAGCACAACTCAAGCCACTCGGCCACCAGGATTCCTTTGACAATGACATTATGTTCATAATAACAATGGTATCTTTTGCAGTTGAAAGTGATACACTAACAATTGAGTCTGGACCACTTAGCACTGAAGATAAGACACTTTCATGTACCACAGACACCGAAAAGCAACAAGGTATTAAGCTTGCTTGGTTTTTGTGTCTTTTTTTATCTAATAAAATGACATGTCATCAATCAAAGGAAAAAGGCATTATGGTGGTGTTCTAACTTATTAAAACTCATTTTTGTTTGGGAATTCTCTTAGAAGTAAATGAGACTCAGCCTCTCACAACGGTAGTTCAGAATTCAGTTCTCCTTCATCCTCAAGAAGAAGCAGCCAGAATTAGAATGTCAGCAAGGCAGAAACAGGTAATTTGAAATTTTAGTTTTAAAAGTTTCCTTCTCCCCTTACTTACACTAATTTTGTCCGACCAATGAAATGTGTTATGCATGACTACTTTTGATGCCATCTCTTCTACAGTGTCTTTAAAAATAGCAGAAGCACTTCGTTCTTTGCTAGTACAATTGACTTTATCTTTCCTGCATTCTACCTTTTTATACTTGAACTGTGTGTGCATTCTAACCGATTTGTGGCAGCAGCATCTCTGACAGATAGAACTGTGGACCAGACTATCGGTGGATAATTTGTTTTCACAAAGAGATTGCCAGACCTTTCCTCGAGGCATCTCTAGGTGGACTCAAACTGCTTACTCTCCCGTTAGCAGCTAGGCAAATTAACCGGTTTCCCTCGCAGAAACATTTTACCTATAAAATGTATAAAGACACTGCACTCACGCTCTCATGCTCTCTCTCTGTAGATAGATAGATAGATAGATAGATAGATAGATAGATAGATAGATAGATAGATAGATAGATAGATACACACACATAAATATGTAATTTTAGTTGAGTTTGGTTTCTGGTGAAATGCTTTCTTTATACATTGCAAATGCTCAGAAATTTGTAGAATAAATGGGTGCTATTGTAATGTTAGACAGCTCATTTACTTACTGCTATTGAGTCAATGCCAACTCAAAGTGACCAGCCTTTCTCCCGAGGAGCAGCTGGTGTTTCAAACTGCTGACCTTCCAGATGAAAACCCAATGTGTAACCACTACACCACCAGGGCCCCTGCAGTTTGAGACAGCTAGATCTTCTACAATTCCTTTAAAATACATTTTTTTAAAAATTAAACCTTATTCCTATCATTCTTGTCTCTCTTTTAGGCATTGTAATGAAACGAACCTAGCAAACAAAACATTTGCTGTGCCTGTCAGTTTAAGTGTACGATCCAGTGACGTGCCTTGCGTCCCCTGTAACAAACGACGCACAGCATTGTCCATTTCCAACTTTTCTCATCACCTCCAATAGAAATGGTTGCCTTACCTGCTTTAAATTTTTAAAAACTTAAACAATTCCTAATGATATTTAAGCCCACGGGTTAATTATTAAGCCAGTCAGTTTTTAGCCATAGTTAGTTTTTGAAAATATCCTGGGTAGTGGAAATTCCTTCAGCCTTTATTTCTTCTCAGATAAATGCTCTCTGGTTAACACTCTAGAGCGCAGGGGCTGGCAAACTCTGGCTCTTGAGCCATCTGTGCTGTTCTTTTGGTCCAAACATGTAACTCTGAAGTAAAATTGAAAATGAAAATAGAACTGTCTATTTTATTTAAAGGATATTATTCAGATAATGGTGATTTCATTTGTTTGTAAAAATATTTATGACTCTGGAATAATTTTTAAATCTTTCTGAGTGACGGGATTGGCTTTTCCATCTCAAAAGTTTGCCGACCTGAGTTATCCGAATATAGAAATTGGTAATGTGCTTGTTTTTTCTTCCTGTCTCTTGCTTCCTTCCTTTGGCGATGGCCATAGCAGAGCGAAAAATCCCCACTTCTTGTATTCTTGGTGATTAAAAACTTTTTTGCTTTTTAATGTGATGAATAAATTTTATGTGAGTGAATTTCTTGTGACTTTTTAGTAGAGTTTATTTCACTGGTAGTGTTTCTGTCACCTAGATAATAGAGATAGAAGAACAGAAGCAAAAGCAGTTGGAATTACTGGAGCAAATCGAACAACAGAAGTTAAAATTAGAAGCTGACTGCTTCAAGGCCCAGCTGGAAGAAGAAAGGAGGAGAAAAGCTCCACAGTCCACGGTAGGATGCAGGAAGGCTCATCTTGCGTAGATATAGCATTTCGAAAGGAAATTCGTCTTTTTTCCCTCCCCTTTTAGTGTATGTGTAAGTATGTACCCATATGACTTTCAACTTTCAGTTTCTCTGGGGTACCAGTATCTATGACCGTGATTTACATATATAATGCATATGCTGTGTCTGTCAATTTGGCACTCAGGGAGAACAATGGGTTGCTTCCTTTCTTAAAACTATAATGTAAGGTGACCAGACGTCCCACTTTTTGCGGGACAGTCCCAATTTTTAGCAATTTTCCCCGCATCCCGCAGCATTTTTTAAAAGTTCCGATTTTTGGAAAGAATGCATGACAAGCTAGGGTATACGGTTTTCGGCTGCCATGTGGCTATTTTGCCAGGATGTGAGTTTTATCGATGGTGTCCCGCTTTACCAATGTTAAAATCTGGTCACCTTACTATAATGAGAAGTGCCAGGGGGCGTTGTTTATGTTTTTCATGAAAGAGAAAATTGAATTGAAAATTCAAATTTCCGAACTTGAGTTTATCTAAGATACAGTAGTATTTGTTTCTGAGTTTGTGTGTTCATGGTTGGTGGTGTCTTTTCTTAGGTGAATGCTGCTCCCGAACCGGGCGCCACGATTTCCGATGAAGACAGTCACAGGCAGATGATTCATAACTATCAGCACCAGCTTTTAGAGCAGAGCAGGTACTCAAACGCCAAACCACACCCATCATCACAAAGGGGTTCTCACTCGTTGCGGCAACCCTGGGGTACACTTTCTGTGTGATTGCATGTGGCTGCGTATCAGGATGCATTATTTCGTGTCGAGGAGGATCTGATTGGGCTTCCCTTAGAACTACAGCTAATAGGTTTCTCATGGCAACGTGAGAGTCATTCCTTTGGCTGTGATTGTAACCATATTACCATGATTGTGCCCAACCCTAGATTGCTGTTTGTTATATTTAATGTATAGACACTTGAGGATAAAGGACTTCGGGGGGTTGTTGTTTTTTCATCATAAAAGAACAATGTTTGTTTGATTTTTGTTAGATTACACAGACAGTCTATTGAAGCTGCCCGCAAACAATTACATGATTATCAGACTGTGCTAAAAGAAAGGTACCTGTCTGTGTCAACTCCATCAACCATACCTGATTCCGCACCACCTCAGAAGGCTGAAAGGCCCACTCTCATATCAGAACATCGGGATCAAGGTCAGAGACCCAAGCTGAGTCCTAGCAAATTGCATCCCGTACAGATATCCCAGTTAGAACAAAGTCATTATCAAGTGCCAAGAGAGAAGCATTTTTCTCAAAGACAGGCAGAAATGGTGGAAACATTCGGAGCATCAAATGTTTTAGCCAGACAATGTGTGGAACCACAAGAACATCTAAGGCTGTTCCCACATGCTGAAACACAGCAGAGACCTTATACATCAGTGCCAATTTCGAGGGCTTTGTCACCTTATAGGCCCGTAATATTGCAGAATGCTAGAGAAATACCTAGGGCAGCGGCGCTTCAAAGTGTAGACTCTCAGCAGATACTCCCCGATCCCAGTCCAGGTGTGTCTTCTAAGCTGACCGAGGCCTCTTCATTTCTGCCTCTGGTTGCTGAGCGCTCTTTCTGTTCTCTGCCTGCTAAAGAAGAACACGACAGAGCCCAGGAGCACCTTGCAACCAAGAGCGAAAGTGTGTTTTCCTTAGGCCACTCTATAGTCAGCCAGACACAGGACAGGCCCTTGCTCTCCTCAGAACATCTGACAGCCCAGCGAGGCAATGTGAAGGCTCTCCAAGAACAGCTGGACCTACAAAAGGAAGTTCATCAAGCAAGACAGGAGTCTCAGGAGCAGTTCCTTCTGCACAAGCAGAAAGAACTGGAAGAGCAACTTGACATCTCGCTGTTTGTTCCGTCGGTAGCTCCGCGTTCATTTCTTTCACTCCCTTCTGCCAAAGCCGAATTAGGGCAAATCCATGAATCTTCTTTATCCAAGAAAGACACTGCAGTGTGCGCAGGCCATCCTGTGTTCCCGCAAATTCAGGAGAGGCCTTTGAATTTTTCACTGTCTGATTTATCCCAGCAAGATAAAATTAAACTTCTCCATGGACAGCTGAATGTCCAAAGGGACGTGCTTCAGGCTAGACGAGAAGCTCAGGAAGTATTATGTGTACAGAAACAGAGGGAATGGGATGAAAGTGTATCTTCTGAGCAGGCTGTTGACTCCTCTACCACCCCATCTCTGCTGGCTCAGCGCACATTCCCATCATTGTCCTCTTTAGAAACTAGAGCTGGAAAAGGCCAGCGGCAGTACTTATCAAAGAGTGAGGAAGGAGTCTTCTCAAGCCAGTCTGAAATGCCAGCCTCTCAAGACCAGTCTTCTCATTTCCTACGTGGGTTCCTACCTCAGCAGGATTGTTTTAAGCTCCTTCAAGGACAGCTGACTGTGCAGAGGGATGCTCTTCAGGCTAGGCATGAAACCCAGACCGACGTACTTGTACACAGAGAGAGTAATTTGGAGGTCAGTGCTTCTGGGCAGATGAGTCCTTTGTTCTCAACCATCGTTGCTCAAAATTCGGTTGCTTCACAAGCTTCTGCCAAACCTGTACCTAGAAGAATTCAGAACCTTTCTTTATCTGAAGCGAGTCAAATTCCTTCAAATCATATGGTAATCCCAACATTTCAAGATAAATCTCTTCCAGGTTTTCCACAGCATAAGCTAGGACAACACGAAAATGTGACAACACTGCATGAACAATCTCACATGCAAAGGGGCATACAAGGTACTAACCAAGCAGTTTGGGATTTTGTGCGTAAACACGGTGAAATGGACAAAAGGTTTTCTGCTGAACCGGTGGGCCCTTCTTCATCCCTATTCCAGATAGCTGAATTGGAAAGATCCCGAGAATTCATGTCACTCAAAAATGACAGTTCATTTTCCTTAAGCCATTCTGTGATCCCAGCATTTCAGGAAAGACCTTTGAGATGTTCACAACAGACACCCCTAAAAGATCATTTCGAAGGACGCCAAGAGTGGCTGGACATGGAGAACAGGACTCTTCAGTTTGGCCAGAAAGCTCAAGAAAATCAATCATCCGAGCAAGCTGTGTCTTCTTCTTTCTTATCCCAGGCCGGAACTTCTTTGCCTCCTGCTGGTACAGTCCAGGAACCAGTCTTGATCGAGAGTGACAGTGAAATTGTGTCAAGCCATTTTCAGGTCCCACAATTGCAGGATAGACTTTTGAGGATATCACAACTGATCCAGCCTCAACAAGAGAACTTGAAGTCACTTCAAGAGCAGTTAGCGACACAGAGGCAATCTATTGTCCAGTCTAGACCGGATACCCAGGAACAATTACATTTACATCAGCAGAGTGGGTGGAAGGAAAAAATATCTCCTGAACTGGCTGGTGCCACATCTTTTGTACCCTCAGTAGCACAGCATTCATTTGCTTCAGCGCCTCTCACTGAATTGAAGAGAATCCAACAATCTTACCCACCTAAGACTGAGAATGCAACCTCCTCAAGTCTTTCTGAGATAGCAAGATTGCCCGAGCAGCTTTTGGATTTATCAAAGCCTGTTTTACCTCAACAAAATAACTTGATTACACCTCAAGAACAACTAGGTGCACTGCCATATGCTCTTCCTCCTGGCGAGAACACTCAGGTTTTGCCCAGGCCATGTAGACCCGAGGAAAAGAGACCTGGTGAGCACTCTATCCTGCCTCACTACGGTGATTTGACAGCACTTCAAAAGCAGCTCAGTGTACAAAGGAGAACCATTCGATCTGCACAGGAAGTCCAAGAACAATTGCTTTCACAAAGACTAAGTCAGTTAGAGAAGAGGGTATCATCTGAGCAGGTCAATGCCTCTTCATTGTTACCCCAGGTGGCCCTACCTGTTGACGCTGAAAGAACCCGAGAGTTTTTTCCAGTGAAAAGTAGCAACACCATTCCCTCAAATGATCCCGAGGTTCCAGAAACCCTTGTGAGTCTCATGAGTTTACCCTGGTCTGGTCTGCCTCAACAAGATAATTTGATAGCACTTCAAGAACAATTGGACTTGGAAAGAGAAATGAAGTGTTCTAGTGAGAAAACCCAGGAAGAAATGCTTTTAAACAAACAAAGCAAGCTGAGCAAAAGTGACTCTTGTGAGCACACTCTCTTCTCTCTGACTCTGCCCAAAGAGCTGGAGCCGTCGTTTATCCCACTGCCTTTTGCTGAAGCCAAATCTAAAAGAATATGTGAAAGGGAGTCCTCCAGCAACGAACAGAAAGCGCCCTCGAGCAATTTTATGACCCCTGAATTACAGTCTACTTTGAGGTTTTCACAGCCTCTCTTAGCTCAACAAGATAATGTGGGACTTCAGAAGCAGTTGAATCTACAAAGAAAAGCACTTCATTATAGCCAAAAAGCCCAAAAAGAATTGCTTGTCCATCGACAAACAGCACTGCAGCAACAGATACAGAAACATCAAGAGACCTTGAAGGATTTCTTTAAAGACAATCAGGTACGTTTTAAACTTGAATATAAGAGAAGTGAACAGAAATTAGTTAAATATTAGTTTCAGAACTAGGTCTAGGAACAAAATTTTTGGCTTTTTAAAAAATGTATTGTGGTAAAGCTGTGACACAAAGACTGGCCATTTTAACCATTTTAAACCATGTGTTCAATGATATTAATTACATTGATAGTTCTGCAGCCCTCTCTTTTATCTCGTTTCTGTATCATTTTTATTACCCCGAACAGGTACTAGAGAAGCTAAGTTTTAGGTCCAGGTGCTTTTTAATCAGCAGGGGAAGTTGCAGTAGTGTGATTGGTAGAACTATTTATTTGGTTTTGGTTCTAATTTAAAGAACAGTGGTATAAAGCTAATGAAGAATTCTTCAAATGTTCCTTCATCCTGTTTTCTCCTCTTACCGCTTGCTTTTTCAGACAAGCAAGCCTCCTCTAGAAGATGACTTAAAAGGCCAGAAGATGGAGCAGCTCCGAGGGTGGTTTCCTTGTCTCCAAGACCTAGCCAGAGACCATCCGGAAGGTGGTAATCACGCACATAGGAATGGCTCTGGTGGCCATGAACTGCTTTCAGAAGTTACCGCTGCCACGCCAAGTGGTAAGACCGTTTGTCATATAGGATTGTCATCTTTCTCTTGCTTTTTCATTGCTTTTGTCCCTGTACATTGTTGACTAAAGAGAAGTGTATGCCATGGTAATAATTTTTTTTAATTGTGTCTAACATTGTCTGCCTTGATAGGTGAACATCTGAACAAAGAATTGGGTAGGAGATCCTCAAAGCCACCTCTAGCAAAAGTTCAATGTGGATTAGACTTGCACCAGCATGAACTCAGTGCAATACAGGAAGTGGAATCACCAGGAAGTGCCAGAGCTTCCATACTAAGTAAATAGAAGGGTTGACAAAACCTCATTTTTCAGCATGCTTGTTGTTGTTAAAAGAGAAGCTAAGTAATCACTAAAGAAACAATAATGGTTTGTGTAAAACAGTGTTTACAATTTAGATGTAAGAAAATGGTTGCATTAGGTTGCTAGCTTGTTTTCCCAATGAGGTAAACCAACTTGCTGGATGCAGACTCACTGTCCATCGAGGCAGTTCCAACCCTATCGGAGAGGGTAGAACTGCCTGCGGGTTTCCAGGATTGTAAATCTTCACAGAATAAAGTCTTGTCTTTCTCCCCTGAAGCAGCTGGAGGTGTTAAACAGCAGCCCAATTTGTGACCACTACACCACCTGGGCTCCTTTAGAGGCTACAGATGCACCTATTTCCTGTGTATATGACAGAGGTCCTTAGGATACATTCCCCAGAGAAGATCGAAGAAGACAGTTTTCCCAAAGCCACTCTGTAGAGTTATTCTGACTCAGAGACCCCAGAGGATAGAGTAGAATTGCTTGATAGTGTTTCTGAGGCTGTCAGTCTTTATGGAAGCACACTGCCTCATCTTTTTCTCATAGAGTGGCTGAGGGTTTGAAGTTCCAGCTCTTTGGTTAGCAGACCAACACTTAATCCACTGTACTACCCACCCATTGCCATCAAGCGGATTCTGACTCGTTGTGACTCTATAGAGGACAGAGAGGGTTTCCAAGGCTGTAAACCTTTGCTGGAGCAGACAACCTCGTCATTCTTCCGAAGAGCAGGTGGTGGTTTTGAAATGCAGACCTTGGGGTTAGCAGCCGGTGCGACCGCTGTGCCTTGTAGAGATGGTAGTAAACACAACAAGAAGAAACACTGCTCTGCTTTTATTACACTTCTTCCTGTTCATTTCTGCAGAATGACAGCACGGTTACTATAGTAACAGCAACTTTTTCTTCTAACTCTTCTGGGGTTTGTTTGTTCCCCCCTTTTCATAGCATCTGGCTTTTGTTCCTTGAATATAAAACATTACGTATCTCCTTTGGATATTTGTGTTTAGTTTTTAAGTTTGCTTTGGTCCCATGCATTTTTGCTGTTGGTCTGAGGTTTTCCTGTTGACTCTGTATGACATTTAGTAAGTTTCTCACTATTGCCTTGTGTACTGAGTGGCATGCAAAAAAAGGCAAGGTGGAAGTTCAGTGTGTGATTAGGTATAATTTACTATTGGACTTCGCTGAAGAAGTTGGCTTTTCATTGGGGTCTTTGGATTTAATGTCTGTAGTTCTTTTACCTGAAGCAATGTATAGTTCAATTTACTCGAAAGGTGACCCTCCAAGCTTGATACAGGCTGGCTCTTGGTAGCATGGAGCCGGACCTGGGGGGTCTGGAGATCTCACTGTTGATGCAGCCTTTCTTTGAATACCTTTAATTTGCTTGGACCAGCCTGCCACTCCCTGTAAGCCTTACCTCCTTTCTTTGCCTGATAGGCCTCAGTTCAAAGTATCAGATTTGATTTCTCCCCAGGATAAGGCTTCTCTGCTCAGCGCCTGGCCCTGCAGAACCGGCTTGGAGGGGTGGAGAGGCGCCTGACTGCCACAAGTAGTTTCTTTTCTTTTTTTTTTAGGCTTTTCTTTTTCTGTCGTTGGTGGGTTTTTTTTAAATCATTTTATTAGGGGCTCGTATAACTCTTATCACAATCCATACATACATCAAGCGCATTTGTGTAATTCATTGCCCTCATCATTCTCAAAACATTTCCTCTGTGTAAAGCGCATTTGTACATTCATTGCCCTCATCATTCTCAGAACATTTCCTCTCCACTTAAGCCCCCGGCATTAGGTCCTCACAAGTAGTTTCTTTGAAGCATTTTTCCCCATTCTTGTTCCATGGTTCACATTTACCTTTTCTTTTTATAATACCTGGTACCTTTTAGTCCAAGTGTTTCTGGGGTTTTGCACAACAAACCGGCTTTCAGGTTTTTTCATATCTCCCACCCCTTTGCTTGTTTTTATGTTTGTATCCAGAGAAGTGTAAGATCTTAAATATTCATTTCAGTAACGTGTCACAAAGTGAGCCACACCCATGGACCCACCTCCAGGTGCGAACTGCCACACTAGAGCACCTCACAGACCCCTGCTGGTTCTCTCCCGTCTTCCCAGAATAAAGCCTCTTGCCAATTTCTTAACCAAGGACAGCATAGTTACTAGAATTACACAGGTCAGTTCGGGTGGCATACAAATTGGGCTGCTACTTGCAAGGCCAGCAGTTTGACAGAACCAGCCACTCTGTGTGAGAAAGATGTTTTCCAGTATCATAAAGATTTACAATTTTGGAAACCCACCAGGACAATTACACTTGTCCCACAGAGTCTCTGGGAGTGGAATTGACTCGATGGCAGTGAGTTTAGGGTTTTTTTTAAGCATATGTTTTGAATGCTTATTATTCCAAATAATGCCATCAATGGTTAGTAAGTTCCCCCAGCACTTTTCCTGTGCTAAGTCAACTTTGCTGTGTAGTCTAGTGTTAGAAAGCCGAGGTGTCATTAAAAAAGAAGACTGTCTGTATGAGCATCATCTTCTTTTAAAGAGATGTTCAGACCAAATTGATGATGGTCCGACACGACCCAAGAATTGGGGGGCAGAGAGTGGAAGTTGATGCAGAAGGAATAATTTAGGAATGGAGGGTGAGGGTGGTGCTTCAACCTGAATGTAGCACAGCCCCTGAATTGTTCGTGTAGAAACGGTTTAATTGAGATCATATTCTGGTTTGTACGTTTTCTTTCTTCTTTTTTTTTCAAAAACCCTGTCAGTCAAGGAGCTGGCTGACTTTCACAATTCGGTTTGTACATTTTCAACAGCAAAAATAAGTGTCATTTAACAATTCTTCTGAAAACTGAAGTAAAATAATATGAAGGTATGAGTGAAAGACAAGCCAATTATTACTCTCTTGCTACACACATCAGAAGGTCTTTACAATCTTGTTTTCTTTTGGTTTTCTTTGTAAGGAAATACTTTTATAGTCATGATTTCCCAGATGTGAGGAAAACCAATGGCCATTCCATAACAAAATGTAAATGTTTCCATCATACAGAGTTTATAGGTTCATGACATGGTCTCCTTAGAACAATGGTTCTCAACCTGTGGCTCGCGACCCCTTTGTGGGGTTTGAACAACCCTTTCACAGGGGTCGCCCGATTCATGACAGTAGCAAAATTACAATTATGAAGTAGCAACGAAAATAATTTTACGGTTGGGGAGGTCCCCCCAACATGAGGAGCTGTATTAGAGGGTCACGGCATCAGGGAGGTTGAGAACCACTGCTTTAGAAACTGGACGTTCACAAAACAATTCAACGTTTAAAGTTGGCAAGTCATTTTACACAAATGCTGAATTCATTTGGTTATTTGGCCACCTTAGTATACATACTTCTTATCTATAATCTGAATTGCCATTTCAGTTTTGACTAATTCTACATTGGAGTGGTTACAACTCATTGGGCTGCTACCAGAAGTTCAGCAGATCAAAACCATCAGCTCCTAAGGAGAAAGATAAGGCTCTCTGCTCGCATTAAAAAGCGACAGCCTCAGAAACCCTCAGCGATAGTTCTACTCGCCATACAGCGGCGTCCCTGTGAATTAGAACCCACTCAATGGCACTGAGTTTGTTGGAGTTTTTTTGCAGGGCTGAGAATTAAGTGGAAATCTAATGAGGTGATTTTTTTTTCCTTCCCAGGTAAAAGAGATTTCTGTCATCAAGACAGAGATCTCCTGAGAGTGTCCATAAGCCGAGAACACAGTTTACTTGATAGCTCTGCGGACCTTCACTCTCTTGGTCATCATCTACCAGGTACCCACAAGAATGTCTCCAGGGATGACTCTGATGAAGCGGGTGAGAGATCAGTGAATGGAAAATGAGATTGCTGTGCACAAGGGTACATACAAAAAGATAACATGATTTGATATACCACTGCATGGTAAATGAGCTCAAGGATTATTGGTAGGGGAACATTCATGGTGGCACCCATGCTGTGCACCTCTATGCCAGAAGTTTTTCCGTGCCAGGGGTCCTGATTTTCTGAGAAAGGTATGGTAGGCTAAACCTATGCAGTTGATAACATAAATGAGAAGAATAATTCTTGTTTGTATAGAAACCTATCTGAAAGGAGAATCTCTATTCTTACAGGTTTACTTTTGAGCGAGCTTTAAGTCATATTTTATACACTCGTGTTTTAGAGGGTTTTTTTTTAATCAGTGGCATGTGTTATTTTTATATAAGGTTGAGTGAAGGAAATGTAGCTTTTTTAGAAAGTAGGATTTCATTTTGAATGGTTGAATAAGTACTAGGAGAAAATACATAGGACTGAGTTTTGTTTTGTTTTTAATTATGTGCAACTTTTTATAGTTCACTGTGGAGTCGTTGTTAACATTGCGACATTCGCGACACAGACCAGTGTGTGCGGTATCTGAAAGGAACACATTAAGTAATCAGACATTCAGAAGTGCTTTTAAGCTCTTAAAATTCTTCACGATTAGATATACAAGAAAATACTACAAAATATAAATTCAATCCCTAATGATTAATGTTGGCAGGACTTAAAGTGAATTCTACTCAGAACAGTGCTTGTCAGCAAACAAAACTTAAATATAGGATAAAAGAGCTATCTTTTATAATAATTACATAATTTAGTACATATATAAAATATAAACAAATTTGACATACTTATTTTTAGTCTGATGAGCACTCAAATAACAAATGCTAAAATGGCCAAAGTATGCTGAGGAGCTTCACCATTAATGATTCTAGCTCACTAGTTCAGGCTGGACATTCGTCCTCCGGAGAACGTGTCTGTACTGTGTTCTGTGAGGTGTCTGAGCCCTAGCGGAGAAGGCCGAGCCCTAGC